AAACTTAATTGATAATCTGATTTCTTAAACAAATTGCAATACATTATAAGAAGATTTGAAAGGACCATTAGATTGGCCCGTAATAATCTAAATTAGATTTGTACCAAAAAATACACAGAACGAGGGGGGGGGGGGGCAAATAACTCGCCATTCTTTCACTATTCTAGTATATATATATTGGTATTTTGTGGCGTTCGGGGCAATGGTCCTTTAAGAAAAGATGTTGCTGTTACCTTAAAAAAGAATGTTATATTAAAAAAGAACATGTTATATAATTGAAAAAAATCTTGCAGGACCAGTCAGTTGTACTGAATGAACTTAGCTATCATTTTAGTTTTCATTGTTTTGTCTGTATATTATATTATAATATCTGATACTGGTTAACCAAGCACTGCTTTAGGCGTAATTTTAACAATTCATTCTGCGTTCATTCCGTCTAAAGATTTAAAACTCTAAAATTACTTTATTCCTTGGTTACAACCGATTCCAACTGGTAGTAACTATTTTCCCGCTCTCAACGTATCACATTTTCCCGCTCTCAACGTGTCATATTTTCCCGCTATCTACGTGTCATATTTTTCCGCTCTCAACGAACCATATTTTCCCGCTATCTACGTGTCATATTTTCCCGCGTTGCAAGTGTCTCATTTTCTAGTTTCAATATTTTATTCATGTTCACAACAATAATCCGATTTTGCTTAATGAAATGTCTCCTGAAAAATGACCTCGATTTTCAATTCTCTTGTTAAACCTAAATGAATGATTCCCAGCGCAGCCGGATTTAAGTAGAGCAATATGTTCATTGTAAACATAATTAGCAACAACAAATATTAAATGATGTTATGATGACAGAATTGAAAAAGGTATCATCACGAAAATAAAAACCTATTTCTCAAAAGGTGGTTACGTAAGTTTTGGACATAACCCATCCATACAGAGCAGTTGGCAGTTCTAACAATCCCCCATCTTTAAATGCTGCAAGGGTGTCAAAGCATATCATTTACATATATCTTTATTTTTCTTTTTTGTTGTTTTTCTTGTTGTTGTTGTTTATTTGTTTGTTTGTTTGTTTTTGTTTCTTTTTTTTTACCATTTTCGACAGAATTGCATCAGTCTTAAGTATTAACTTATCATGAAGTGTTAGTATTTAAAACAATACAAATACAAAACAATACAGTTTCTGATATGTAGGTTCGAGCTATGACTATATACTAAGAAAATGGTTTTGCAGCTACAGAACTGTTGGCAGTTCCAACATTCTCCCGCATTATTTCTACTATATATAACCATAACTTGATAAAATGATATTCATAGAATATCAACAGATGTACTGGAGACGATCAATGTTTATATTTCTCTGGCAGTATTCCCTTAGTTATCTCCCTTATATAAAGTTATTCATGAGAAAAAAAAGCCCAAACTGTTCGAAATGTATTTTATGGTTTGCTCTGAAAATGGCTGCTTACATTACTTGGATATTTTTAAGACAAAAATTATCAAAAATATACTGCCGACAAAGTGTATAATCATCATCAATTGATCTCTATCTTTGGCGCCGATATCGAACAGAACAATTTGACCCTGATTAAAAGGGACATTGAGTGAGATTAACTTTCAGAAATCTGTTCAGGGTTTGAAATAAGGCAAGAGGATTATGATTCTTATTATACACCAATAAGTAAAGCATACCAATAAGTAGAACATACCAATAAGTAGAACACACCAATAAGTACAGCATACCAATAAGTAGAACACACTAATAAGTAGAGCACACCAATAAGTAGAGCACACCAATAAGTAGAACACATCAATAAGTTGAGCACACCAATAAGTAGAGCACGCCAATAAGTAGAACACACCAATGAGTTGAGCACACAAATAAGTAGAACACACTAATTAATAGAGCATATCAATAAGTAGAGCACACCAATAAGTAGAACACACCAATAAGTAGAGCATACCAATTATTAGAGCGCACCAATAAGTAGAGCACACCAATAAGTAGAACACACCAATAAGTAGAGCATACCAATAAGTAGAGCGCACCAATACGTAGAGCACACCAATAATTAGAGCATAGTAACAAGTAGAGCACACCAATTAGTAAATAACACCAATACGTAGAGCACACCAATAAGTAGAACACATCAATGAGTAGAGCATGCCAATAAGTAGAGTACACCAATAAGTAGAGCACACCAATAAGTAAAGCACACCAATACTTAGAGCACACCAATAAGAAGAACACATCAATAAGTAGAGCATGCCAATAAGTAGAGTACACCAATAAGTAGAGCACACCAATAAGTAGAGCATTGCCAGTAAGTAGAGTACACCAATAAGTAGAAGCACACCAATAAGTAAAGCACAACAATACTTAGAGCATACCAATAAGTAGAACACATCAATAAGTAGAGAAGATGCCAATAAGTAGAGTACACCAATAAGTAGAGCACACCAATAAGTAGATCACACAATAAGTAGAACACACCAATAAGTAGAGCACAACCAATAAGTAAATCACACCAATAAGTAAAAAACACCAATAAGTAGAGCATACCAATAAGTAGAGCACACCAATAAGTAGAACACACCAATAAGTAGTGCATACCAATAAGTACAGCGCACCAATAAGTAGAGCACACCAATACTTAGAGCACACCAATAAGTAGAGCACACCAATAAGTAAATTACACCAATATGTAGAGCACACCAATAAGTAGAACACATCAATAAGTAGAGCATGCCAGTAAATAGAGTACACCAATAAGTAGAGCACACCAATAAGTAAAGAACACAAATACTTAGAGCACACCAATAAGTAGAACACATCAATAAGTAGAGCATGCCAATAAGTAGAGTACACCAATAAGTAGAGCACACCAATAAGTAGATCACCCCAATAAGTAGAACACACCAATAAGTAGAGCATACCAATAAGTAGAGCACACCAATAAGTAAAGCACATCAATAAGTAGAGCACACCAATAAGTTAGAGTACATCAAGAAGTAGAGCACACCAATAAGTAGAGTACACCAATAAGTAAAGCATACCAATAAGTAGAGCACACCAATAAGTAGAACACACCAATAAGTAGAGTACACCAACAAGTAGAGCATACCAATAAGTAGAGCATACCAATAAGTAGAGCACACCAATAAGTAGAACACACCAATAAGTAGAGCATACCAATAAGTAGAGCACACCAATAAGTAGAGCACACCAATAAGTAGAGCACACCAATAAGTAGAACACACCAATAAGTAGAACACACCAATAAGCAAGCTAATATAAATATATATAGCAAGTATATAAATAAGTTAAGCATATCAATATTATAAGTAGAGCACATCAATAAATAGGAATGAAACCAACAAAATGAAATGTCTCCCACACTGAGGTTTCTGTGCATTTCTTGAACATGTTATTCATTTTGCGAATACGTACGGACAATTTCATTAAATGAGAACTAATCACAACAAATATAATTTCCCCGCCAACAATGATAAGATCCCTGCTCTGACCTTGTATTTGAATAACAATAGATTTAACCACAAACATTGACATGTGTTCCTTTGTAAACAAAGATGTTGTGGAGAAATTCTTATTGTAATCCACTTATCTGATAAGAAGAATTAGACAGGTTAGGGATCTATGCATTCAATGATAGAAAAGTAAAAAATGTCATCATATAACTGTTTACGACACTTTGTTAATAACTCGTTTAATCTGCATGATTTTTTTTAGACAGAACTTAACAGGACTTAAAAATTACTGCACATTAAAAATCTTGAGGAAGCCACAAACAACGAGATATCTTCGGTTAAGATGTAATCTTTACTACATGCAGAAAAGTTGAAACCCCATTTTTACTTGCCTTCCTTCTCACTAATATAACGGTATTTTTTATTTGTCTGTATTTATCTATTTATTTCTTTTGGGGCTAGGGTGGGTGGCCGGGCTTTGGGCAAAATATCATGGGAATTCAAGAAGAGATGATTAAATAATCAATAAACATGTTATATTAATGAGAACATTGTAGGGCCAGTCAGGGCATCAATCATGTACTGAATGAACTTAAGACTTCATATTGCTTTATATTGTTTTGTCTGTTATTATATCTAATACTGGATAACCAGCTTTGCTCTAGGCACAATCTGCAACAATCCATACTGTGTTCATTCAGTGTAAAGATTTAAATCTCTAAAATTACTTTATTTCTTATTAGCATCCATTTCCTACACATAGCAACTGTTTTCCCGCTATCTACGTGTCATATTTCCTCACGTTGCAAGTGTTTCATGTTCTTGTTTCAATGTTTTATTCATGTTCACAACAATAATCTGATTTTTCTTAATGAAATATCTCATGAAAATGACCTCGATTTCTTACACTATATGAACGATTCCTAGCGCAGTCGGATTTTAAGTAGAGCAATATTTTTATTGTAAAACAACTATTCATGATATGATTACAGAACTGAAATTATATTATTACGAAAATATAAAGCTATTTCTTTAAAGAATAATTATTATGCAAATATAAGCATAGCTCCATTAGGAAGACGGCATTCCCAGCAACAGGGCAGTTGTCAGTTTTAACAACTGTCCAAATTATTTCTCCCATCTGTAACCAGACTATTTTTTTCTAATTTGACATACGCTACAAGAGACAACAACCGATGTACTGGAGACGATCAATGAAAAAGTTGTCTAAGTTACCTCCCTTATTATATAGTCATTTGTCAATTAGATATGCAAACCATTAATTCGACTAATACATGTACATTGTGTAGTTTGTTTTATCAGATATAATTGAGTTCAATGACTCATGAAAACTTGTTCTACAATTGATTTTATAGTTTCAGTGTTGACACTCCTAAAAGATATCAAACAATTTTGAAAAATGTTCAAAATAGACGTGAAAGGGTTAGTTACACTTTTATTACAAATAACTGATATATATCAACTTTGTGAGAATAAACAAAACCAAATATGACACAGTTTTACTATCCATTTATTCTCAATGCTTCCATATTTCTCTACAATAAATATTGCACACACTTGTACATACAATATATTCCACTTATACTTTCAATTTCCAAGAAAAATACAAAATTCAAAAGCACAAGATTTAAGATATTTTAATCTACAACTACAGCACAAAAGTATTTTGATAATGTTTTCCAAGATGTTGAATGGATGAACACATATATATTTCACAGAGTAGAGATTTTGTATTAGACTACATAACTTAACATAAAGATTTCAAGTGTCCATACTATAATAACTTAGAATTTAAAAAAAATCTTGATAGTGAGTAAAAATGTCTCTGACTGAAAAGTTAAACTTCATTTCAATAGTGTAAAATTAAGTTTTTAATAATGGTTCAAATAGTTTTGATTTCCAGGCATTAATATTTTGCACTGACAGACTGTTAAAGAGTCTATGTGGTTTACATAACTTCTTGTCTTAAGCAGATCACTGCTGAATTACTAATTTACTAACTTACTTATTGAATTGAACTATTAAAGCAGCATGCCTCTAGATTCATGCTAATTTCATGAAAATTTTTAAAATGTATTGGAAAGTAAAATATTGTGAAGTGAATAAAGATATCAATTTACACATTGCCAATGCCAATGTATAATCCATGTAAATTAAAAAATCAATAAGTCAAAATATGCAAAAATAGCCCTTAATCCATTAGTAATGCTTTAGAAATATGGTAATAAATACTACAAAATCAGGCATAAATTGAACATTACATGTAAATTATAACTTGAATCTATTTACTTTTAATAAAATTCTAAAACATTTTTCTCAAGTTCGATTTTCTTGAAATATTTTGGTTTATCTGTAGGCATACAGCTTTATCTGTGCTGGTTTATTGAATCCTATGTAAAATGACTTGATGAGTAATGTAGAATAAGCCTAATTGAGATTCTAGAGTTATGCAAATTTGTCTTTTATATAGATAGTTTCCGGTGGAATAATCTGCCCTGTAACATCTTCCTCTACCCCCTGCAGGGCCCACTGGGGGTTACATATCTCCAGGGCCTCCCACTCTGCTTTAAATGCCTTCTGAGGGTCCTGAGGCCCTGCCATACCTGCTCCAGAAAACTGTTCCTGCATGGCCTTAGTCTGGTCCGCAGCTAAAAATATAATTATAGATATCATAAAATGTATTTTACTAAAACAAGAGGGAAGAAGTTTGTTATAGTATGTGACACCTTAGTCTGGTCCGCAGCTAAATATAATTATAGATATGCAATGTGTTGCATCTTATTAGAAGAGTGGGAAGAAATCTGGTATGGTATGTGACAAGACAAATATTAAAGCAATCAGGTTGAATTTAGGAACAGAAAATTTAATAGTCATTCTAATTTACAAGTTATACAAATACTGTTGACTGAGCACCGACAGCAAGTCATATCTGGCTATGATTAAACACTTTTACTTAAAGAAGAGGAAAGGTTTGGTATAGTATGTGGCAAGACAAATATTAAAGCAGTCAGGTTGAATTTAGGGACACAAAATTTAATAGTCATTCTAATATTTACAAGTAATATTAATACTGGTGACTGAGACATTGACAGCAAGTCTCATTTGGCTATGATTTAACATTTTGATCACTTACTTACTGACCTACATTCTATAACCTTTCTCAATGCAAACAAACGCAACTTAAGATAAATGATTTTGAGACATTTTTAAAAGAAGCACCATTTTAAGCTCTATGAGTAACTTAGCAGAAAATAATAAATAATAAACTTTTTATTTCATGAAGGTAACATATGAAAAAATACATATGATATTTACAATATGGCCTTTAATTAAATAAGATAAAGAAAATCACAAATATCTTACCATTATCTTGTCCCAGTATTAATGTGTACATACTTCTCAAACCAAACACATTGAGGAAATACCAGGATGCTGAACTCACCCTGTCAACAAATATATCTAACATTATTACATGTTATACCTTTACATCTTAATTATATTAAGGTCAAGGAAATAGTGGACCAGGGGCCGTAGTCAAATCATGTACCTCTATAGTGGTCAAATTCTGTCAGACATGTTGCAATCAATATAGTAAAGGATCCCACATCAATTTTTGCATAATTTATGTTTAAATCAGGATTAATTCATTTTACGCTAAGTGGTTTCTGCCACAATATATGGCTTTCAAACTCTGCTTGTGTGAAAAATGAAGATCTTTTACAACATTACGTCAATTATTGCATATCCTAAAATTTATCACATGAAAAGCTTCCATTTGCATCTAGAAGTCCAATAAATGCAAAAACATTGAAAGTTGTGATACATATTATAAAGTTAATAATTAACATTCTTGATATCATTCAGAATGCATTATAAATATCTTACATATAAGCTTTGAGTCACATCAAAATAATTAAGATTTACAAAGGCTGGCACAAGGATAGCACTAGCAAGACTGGTATCTTTCTCACATGTAATAATATATTGTCACTGTCAGGACTCAAACATTAACTGAGAAGAATGGGGATCAAAGAAAATGAAACAATTTACCAGGATGCATCCAAAGCAATAAGTTCCACACCTCTCTGTAACATAGGTTTAAATCTAAATGTCAAGGGGAATGGCACTTTTGCTAAAATACAAACATAAACAATCATGTAAAATCATTAACTTAGAAACCTTGCAATCTGTATATAATTAAATTATTTATCACATTTTAAACATACACAGTCATGTATCAATTTTTGCTCAGTAGTCATGACAACTTGAAGCTTAATTGAAACACTGTCTATTCTGCTTCCTGGAACTAACCAGTACTGGTGTGAGCAGTGTCATGTGAGGAAACATTGTCATGACCTTGACCTTGAAGGGCTCAAATCCACAATCTCTGAGTTGAGAAGCAGTCACTTTTACCACTAGGTATCCTCTCCCCTTATATAATATATCAGAATCACGGTTCTACATTATTTAATAGGTATCAATTTATCACTGCAACTCGAAATATCTATGTGTATATAAAATTAATCATAGTTTATTGCAAAGGTTTATGCTTAGGAATTTTGGATTGTGTGCTAAAGGAATTCTAAAATTTGTGAACATATATGTCCAAATATGTTTATTTCTTTGTTTTAGCTGAGTCAGAAGAACATGGTGAACATGTACATAAGGTTTTGTTATGTGTAGACATTTTGATATGTAAGAAATTTTATCAGATTTTCTTTATTATATGTATATTATTATTATTTTCTATTATTAAGTATAATGACTTACTAGTTAAGAATCCAGAGAATGCCCAATTAATCCATCCACCAATAACTATCATAGGTAACATGTTAGTTACATTTCCCTTCAACATATCTGTCATCATACTGGGGTCTGGAAATAATGAAATATGACATATATATATATCTAATTTTATGTAAGAAAAAAACAAACAGATTTAATGTAATTATAACATATACCTTACTTCTTTTAAAGTTAACATATTCTTGGAGTTAGCATACATGTACATAAATTTTTTTTCAATTTCAAAATATATTTGAAATAGAAGCCAGTACATACAGACTATAGAAAAACCCAATATATAACCAACTGGCGGCGTGGCCGAGTGGTAAATACATCGGACTAGTAATCTAAGGATTGCTGACCGTGTGGGTTTGAACAATGTCAGGTGCAAGCCGTTGTTTAACTTTACATTCATTGCTTAGTACTGGTTGGTTCTAGGAAAAGATTCGAGAGTGTTTCAATAAGCTTATAGCTTCCAACACAATCAACTAATATAAATTTGTATAAACTAACCAATTGACATACAAGTACAATGTAATATTACAAATTAAAAATAATGGCATTATTTTACAAACCTGTCATTGGATTTTTAACGGGAGCTTCTCTATCTGTCTTTGCCTTCGTGAGATAACCATTGTGCTCATTATTGAAGAAAGCTTTTCTTATCAGAAATGACTGAAGAAAAAAATACATGTTTCTAGATCTGTTATCAGTCTTGATGCTTTAATAGTTATTAAAGCTAACGAAAAAAACAACTACATGTAGTTCATCTCGGTAAAATGAAAGATTTCACAGTTTGATAAATAATCATATGACTGTTTTAAATGCACTGATCTTCCAACAAATGGACAGATATCTGACATCAGATTTAATTATCAAACAATATCATCCTGGTATACTTTAAAAAGTCTGTACACTTGAAAATATTTATGTATTATATGACTTAAATACTTAAACTATCAAAATTTGAGAAATTATTATAAGCAGTAAGAGTAACAAGAAAATCTGTTTTGAACTTTTCTATCAAATTTCCTTAAATTCAGACAAAATGTATGTAAACAAATTCATAAACTATTAGTTTTGAAAGCTGTCTGAATCTGAGTTCTAACAAACTGAAAAGTTGCATATATAAGTGCTCATTTATATCACTGACTTCCAGCCCACCACTCCTTCTGGAAAACAAAAAAATTAAACTCAAATTTAACAACTTACATGTTTTGGTATATATTTGCCATTCTCTCGTAATATTCTACTTCTTATCAAGGCATGACTGAAAAACATACAATAATACAATATATTATGATGAACAGTTTAAACTCTTGTTTTAATTATTTTTAACCATTCATTTGTTTATATCTTAAATTATTTCCTAATTATATATAATTTAAACAGTCAGCAAAAAAATAGGCCTGAGTCTAGCATAATTAAAGTGTGTACAAATTCAGTCTGTTACTTGAAAATGCCAAAGTCTTCTATTCTAAATTACATTTGTGGTAGATCTGAAAAAAAAATCATTATCATTTATTAATAAGTACTAAAGTAAAGTAACATTGATAAACATAATAAACTTTTTAAAAATCCATTGTCATAAATCGTCATCTTTGAAAAAGGTACAGACAACATCTTTGATTAGAAATTAACAAAAAAGGCGGACAAAATATTCAGAACCACTCAAAACTCTTCACTGATAGGTTGAAAACCACCAATCATCATTCATATAGGAAAAACAATACTAAGAATGTGCATTACTTTTAATTAACTATGTCTGTGAAAGATCTGTTTTCACATATTTACTTTTTAAGATCATGTAGAGTCTATGAGCATCTTAAGATGGGGTTGGCATTACCCAGAGTCAGAGATAGATACTTACTTACTTTACTTTTAATATCGATATTAGCCAGCTGAACACGAAACGAAACATTTTTACACTTTAATCTTTTTTAAAATTTTGTACTTTACATAAAAGTGATGCACAAAGTTTAGGTCCTTAGCAACTGTTCGACTGCACAGAAAATAAATGAATTTCAATAATAACATCTTCAGTAGTATTGATTCAAAAACTTGCATATATTTCGGATAAATGTCTATCCGAATGTAACGAAACTATTTTTTCATACCTGTCTTTGACCTGTTCAAGTTCAGTCTTTTTCTCTGAAGCCAGTAAAATAGTTACATAATGTCTAATGATTCCAACAAGAAATGTGATTATTACTATAGGTAAAAACACCCAAAGCCGAATGTCAGAATCTAGCAGCAATTCGGCCATTTTTGTTGACGGTGTCGCTGTGAAAATACCAAGTTATGAAAATAGAAAGTTTCAATACTGCAACGGTTAAAACTTTATATCAACTCACTCAGATAAAAACGCTATCAACCTTCTCAGCATGACCAATTTAACTCCGCCTTACGTTTAACTCTTTACTGTTTTACTTTGAACACGGGTGTTGTAATTCGGTGTTGTAAAGAAACTAGATTAAATTACTCGATAATAAAGGAAGTTATTCATTAATAAACCATTAATATAAAGCATTGAGTAATATTTTACTGTACAAAAGGATTCAACAGGATAGAAGCGATATTAAAAAAATAAAATGGTGAAAAACAGAATCACTGTATTTATATACAGTCCGATCTGCATTTGAGCATAGATCGATTTTATTGGCACGAAACGTTTTTTTTTTTTTTTTTTTTGTTTTTTTTTTGTTTGTTTTTTTTTTCTTGTTTTTTTTTGTCTTTTTTTTGGGGGGGTCAAATTTTGTAATTCTGTATTAACTAACCAGTGTAACTGAATGAACCAAAGCACCATATTAAAGCAATTGTATCAAATCGACTGAAAAGGTTGATGCCGATATTTCACCAAAAAATAAGAAAAAATATTAAATTTTCTAAGCAATTTTTAGATTTTATATAGATCTTGGACTTGAAATATACATATATACATATTTTAAGTGTCAGTATCTATAGATCTATAAATAATTGAGCTTAAACATTATTAAACTATGCGATTAATTAAACACCTATAGCTAACTCAGAAAACTTTTATGCAGTAGATCTAGATATTAAAGTAAAAAAAAATCGACTGAAAAGGTTGACGTACAATTTCTCAGGATAACTTACAAATTGAAGAAAAATTTTCATATCTTTTTAAATAGTCTAACGTGAGTGTTAATTGAACATACAATTAATGACTAAAATTTCAATGACTTAACACATACTTACAATTCTCTTCTTTGCCTGTCGGAGCGATATGCTATTTACTAAATAATTCGGCTGAAAAGGTTGATGCAGATTTTCACAACAGGAATCATTGCGATAATAAAAATGTGTTAATTCACAGTGAAGTTCGCCTTACCTGAGTATATATGATATGAACAATGCTCAGAATTAATCAGATTATTAAGCCCTTTTCCATTAAATGTATGATTGTATAGCTAATTTCTGTACAAATCGGCTGAAAAGGTTGATGCCGAAATTCCACTAAAGAAAAAAAGAATTGACTATATTTTAAATGATTATTAAACAGTATGTTTTGATTATTCAATTTAAACATTATTTAACTGTATCATACATTTGATAGGCAAATATTTTTAACACAATTATTACTATTTTTCTACTTTGCCTTGAGCGATACACTAGATAAATACTAAATAAATTCGGCTGAAAAGGTTGCATGATGCCGAAATTTCACTATATAATGGTGAGAAATGGTTAGATTTCAAACGAATCTTAAAAATTATGTTTAGATTTATTTTGAACATAGTTAAACTGTATATAATTTATAAGTGAACATTTTAGCACATTCATTACAATTTCTCTAGTTTGCCTGAAGCGATATGGTAAATACTTATAATTCGGCTGAAAAGGTTGATGCCGAAATATCACTATAGAAATAAAAGAAATGATTAGATTTCAGACAATTCTTAGAAATTATGCTTGGATAATTCAACTTCACCATTATTAAATTGTATTATATCTCTGATTGGCAAATATTCCTTAACATTATTTGATGCAATAATAAATCATCTGAGAAGGTTGATGCAGTTTTCTAACCATTACTTGCAATATTGTTCTATCATTTTTCGTCATCCGGTAAAGACAATCTAAAATGACCTTTTTCACAACAGTTCAATTGACTTAAAACACATAATTACAATTTTTTTACTTTACCTGAAGCGATATGCTATATACTTATAATTCGGCTGAAAAGGTTGATGCAGATTTTCTCAACAAGAAAAATGAGATGATGAACATATCTCAATTCATTCAACAGTTAGTCTTACCTGATGTTAAGAATTTAACAGATAATAAAGCCCTTTTCCATTCAATGTATGATTAAAGCAGCTAATTTCTCTACAAAATATATCATATTGTGACAAATCGGCTGAAAAGGTTGATGCCGAAATTTCACTATAGAAAGATGAGAAATGGTTAGATTTCAAACGAATCTTAAAAATTATGTTTAGATTTATTTTGAACATTGTTTAACTGTATATAATTTATAAGGCGAACATTGTAGCACATTCATTACAATTTCTCTATTTTGCCTGAAGCGATGTGGTAAATACTTATATTTCGGCTGAAAAGGTTGATGCCGAAATATCACTATAGAAATAAAAGAAATGATTAGATTTCAAACAATTCTTAGAAATTATGCTTGGATAATTCAACTTCACCATTATTAAATTGTATTCTCTGATTGGCAAATATTCGTTAACATTATTTGATGCAATAATAAATCATCTGAGAAGGTTGATGCAGTTTTCTAACCATTACTTGCAATATTGTTCTATCATTTTTCGTCATCCGGTAAAGACAATCTAAAATGACCTTTTTCACAACAGTTCAATTGGCTTGAAACACATAATTACTATTTTTTTACTTTACCTGAAGCGATATGCTATATACTTATAATTCGGCTGAAAAGGTTGATGCAGATTTTCTCAACAAGAAAAGTGAGATGATGAACATATCTCAATTCATTCAACAGTTAGTCTTACCTGATGTTAAGAATTTAACAGATAATAAAGCCCTTTTCCATTCAATGTATGATTAAAGCAGCTAATTTCTCTACAAAATATATCATATTGTGACAAATCGGCTGAAAAGGTTGATGCCGAAATTTCACTATAGAAAGATGAGAAATGGTTAGATTTCAAACGAATCTTAAAAATTATGTTTAGATTTATTTTGAACATTGTTTAACAGTATATAATTTATATAGGCGAATAATTTAGCACATTCAGTACAATTTCTCTACCTTGCCTGAAGGGATATGGTAAATACTTATAATTCGGCTGAAAAGGTTGATGCCGAAATATCACTATAGAAATTTAAAAAATGATTAGATTTCAGACAATTCTTAGAAATTATGCTTGGATAATTCAACTTCACCATTATTAAATTGTATTATATCTCTGATTGGCAAATATTCCTTAACATTATTTGATGCAATAATAAATCATCTGAGAAGGTTGATGCAGTTTTCGAACCATTACTTGCAATATTGTTCTATCATTTTTCGTCATCCGGTAAAGACAATCTAAAATGACCTTTTTCACAACAGTTCAATTGACTTGAAACACATAATTACTATTTTTTTACTTTACCTGAAGCGATATGCTATATACTTATAATTCGGCTGAAAAGGTTGATGCAGATTTTCTCAACAAAAAAAACTGAGATGATGAACATATCTCAATTCATTCAACAGTTAGTCTTATATGATGTTAAGAATTTAACAGATAATAAAGCCATTTTCCATTCAATGTATAATTAAAGCAGCTAATTTCTCTACAAAATATATCATATTGTGACAAATCGGCTGAAAAGGTTGATGCCGAAATTTCACTATAGAAAGATGAGAAATGGTTAGATTTCAAACGAATCTTAAAAATTATGTTTAGATTTATTTTGAACATTGTTTAACTGTATATAATTTATAAGCGAATATTGTAGCACATTCATTACAATTTCTCTATTTTGCCTGAAGCGATATGGTAAATACTTATAATTCGGCTGAAAAGGTTGATGCCGAAATATCACTATAGAAATTTAAAAAATGATTGGATTTCAGACAATTCTTAGAAATTATCCTTGGATAATTCAACTTCACCATTATTAAATTGTATTATATTTCTGATTGGCAAATATTCCTTAACATTATTTGATGCAATAATAAATCATCTGAGAAGGTTGATGCAGTTTTCTAACCATTACTTGCAATATTGTTCTATCATTTTTCGTCATCCGGTAAAGACAATCTAAAATGACCTTTTTCACAACAGTTCAATTGACTTGAAACACATAATTACTTTTTTTTTTACTTTACCTGAAGCGATATGCTATATACTTATAATTCGGCTGAAAAGGTTGATGCAGATTTTCTCAACAAGAAAAATGAGATGATGAACATATCTCAATTCATTCAACAGTTAGTCTTACCTGATGTTAAGAATTTAACAGATAATAAAGCCCTTTTCCATTCAATGTATGATTAAAGCAGCTAATTTCTCTACAAAATATATCATATTGTGACAAATCGGCTGAAAAGGTTGATGCCGAAATTTCACTATAGAAAGATGAGAAATGGTTAGATTTCAAACGAGTCTTAAAAATTATGTTTAGATTTATTTTGAACATTGTTTAACTGTATATAATTTATAAGCGAATATAGTAGCACATTCATTACAATTTCTCTATTTTGCCTGAAGGGATATGGTAAATACTTATAATTCGGCTGAAAAGGTTGATGCCGAAATATCACTATAGAAATTTAAAAAATGATTAGATTTCAGACAATTCTTAGAAATCATGCTTGGATAATTCAACTTCACCATTATTAAATTGTATTATATCTCTGATTGGCAAATATTCCTTAACATTATTTGATGCAATAATAAATCATCTGAGAAGGTTGATGCAGTTTTCTAACCATTATTTGCAATATTGTTCTATCATTTTTCGTCATCCGGTAAAGACAATCTAAAATGACCTTTTTCACAACAGTTCAATTGACTTAAAACACATAATTACAATTTTTTTTTACTTTACCTGAGGCGATATGCTATATACTTATAATTAGGCTGAAAAGGTTGATGCAGATTTTCTCAACAAGAAAAATGAGATGATGAACATATCTCAATTCATTCAACAGTTAGTCTTACGTGATGTTAAGAATTTAACAGATAATAAAGCCCTTTTCCATTCAATGTATGATTAAAGCAGCTAATTTCTCTACAAAATATATCATATTGTGACAAATCGGCTGAAAAGGTTGATGCCGAAATTTCACTATAGAAAGATGAGAACTGGTTAGATTTCAAACGAATCTTAAAAATTATGTTTAGATTTATTTTGAACATTGTTTAACTGTATATAATTTATAAGCGAATATTGTAGCACATTCATTACAATTTCTCTATTTTGCCTGAAGGGATATGGTAAATACTTATAATTCGGCTGAAAAGGTTGATGCCGAAATATCACTACAGAAATAAAAGAAATGATTAGATTTCAAACAATTCTTAGAAATTATGCTTGGATAATTCAACTTCACCATTATTAAATTGTATTATATCTCTGATTGGCAAATATTCCTTAACATTATTTGATGCAATAATAAATCATCTGAGAAGGTTGATGCAGTTTTCGAACCATTACTTGCAATATTGTTCCATCATTTTTCGTCATTCGGTAAAGACAATCTAAAATGACCTTTTTCACAACAGTTCAATTTTTGAAAACACATAATTACTATTTTTTTTACTTTACCTGAAGCGATATGCTATATACTTATAATTCGGCTGAAAAGGTTGATGCAGATTTTACTTAACAAGAAAAGTGAGATGATGAACATATCTCAATTCATTCAACAGTTAGTCTTACCTGATGGTTAAAAATTTAACAGATAATAAAGCCCTTTTCCATTCAATGTATGATTAAAGCACCTAATTTCTCTACAAAATATATCATATTGTGAAAAATCGGCTGAAAAGGTTGATGCCGAAATTTCACTATAGAAAGATGAGAAATGGTTAGATTTCAAACGAATCTTAAAAATTATGTTTAGATTTATTTTGAACATTGTTTAACTGTATATAATTTATAAGCGAATATTGTAGCACATTCATTACAATTTCTCTATTTTGCCTGAAGCGATATGGTAAATACTTATAATTCGGCTGAAAAGGTTGATGCCGAAATATCACTATAGAAATTTAAAAAATGATTAGAGTTCAGACAATTCTTAGAAATTATGCTTGGATAATTCAACTTCACCATTATTAAATTGTATTCTCTGATTGGCAAATATTCGTTAACATTATTTGATGCAATAATAAATCATCTGAGAAGGTTGATGCAGTTTTCGAACCATTACTTGCAATATTGTTCTATCATTTTTCGTCATCCGGTAAAGACAATCTAAAATGACCTTTTTCACAACAGTTCAATTGACTTAAAACACATAATTACAATTTTTTTACTTTACCTGAAGCGATATGCTATATACTTATAATTCGGCTGAAAAGGTTGATGCAGATTTACTTAACAAGAAAAGTGAGATGATGAACATATCTCAATTCATTCAACAGTTAGTCTTTCCTGATGTTAAGATTTTAACAAATTATAAATCCCTTTTTCATTCAAGGTATGATTGAAGCAGCTTATTTCTGTAAAAATATATTATATTGTTACAAATCGGCTGAAAAGGTTGATGCCGAATTTTCGATAAAGAAATAAGAGAAAAGATTAGATTTCAAACGATTCTTAAAAATTAGGTTTTGATTATTCAACTTGAACATTATTAAACTGTTTCATCACTTTGATAGGTAAATATTTCAGCGCTTAACTTAACATTATTTGATGCATTAAGTATCATAACTTTGATTGGCAAATATTTTAGCGCTTAACTTAACATTATTTGATGCATTAATAAATCATACCATTTCTTGCAATATTGTTGGAACGTTTAAAACAATCTAACCGGTGCATATTTTACACTTCAATTTGACTTAAAGACATAGTTACAAGTTCTCTTCCTTGCCTGAAACGATATACTAAATACTTACAATTTTTCTGAAAAGGTTGATGCAGATTTTCTCAACCAAAATCAGGAAAATAATTGGTCGGTATTTTGTAAAGTTAGTCTAACTTGTTTATATTGTTTAATGATTTTGGTAAGACACTAGAAACTGAACGGATTATATGTTATAAATTGCATTATATTCTGCACACGAATATTATTCATATAGAGAAAAAAATCATACTCTTCCTGAAAAAATGGATGTTTATTCTAAGAATATGTTAAAATGCAAATTTATTTAATTTCTATAAGAAACGGGTATTTGGTTATCACACAACAGAAGTATATCATGCGCAGGAAGATTTAATGCTCGATTTTAACATATGGTTATCGGAACAAATCATCAGAATTGCACTAACTCATTTCAGTCTTTTTGACCAAACTTTTCATTTGAAAAGCACGTGCACTAACCGGGAAGAAAGATAATGGGTCTTAAGTCGTAAAAATTGTTATAACTTCACGAAAAGATTATCTTAAACAACACTTCTTTTAAGATAGTCTGTTAAAAGTTTGAATTTATAGATGACAAGCAAATTTCTTACAGAACTTATGAATTAATCTAAGAAAATGTATTTATACTTTTGCAAATCAAATACATGTAGAAAGAGATAACATTTTTATGAATCTTTGAAAAAAGTTTACTAATTATACATGATTATAATGACTTTTCTACTGCAAATCGCTACTTTGCATAAAAAATAAATATTTGTTTGGGTGCATAAAAAGTGTATATAGCAATTATGCGCTGTCTAGTACATTTGTATATCTATAAGTAAGAAAAAAGCTATATTTAAAGTCATGTTCGCACGTACATACCTTCCTCATCATCTGCCATACTTCTTTTCAAGTAAATAACTCGTCACGAAGAGGTTTCGAAGAACAATATATTTTTATGTATTTTTTTTTGTTCATTAAAACATGTACTTTCAGTGTCGGATTCAGGCCCGGGCTTCAGGGCTGCAGCCCCGCCCCCAAACTCGGCCCAAAGATACGTTTACCAGCTGGGCTGGAAAATGTTTTTGTCAGTTTCAAACTTTATTGGCTGTAGTGTACTCCCTTATCAAAACATTAATTGCTGTCATCCAGTTGTTAATCTCCTGCCCGGGGGCTTATCAGAGATCTTTCTCTATCAACATGCTTGAATGGCTTCAATGTTTAAACTGCATAATTGTGCATTATTGGTTTATTACTTTCCCAAGGTCTAATGAAAAATTCTTATTGAATATAAGTGTTTGAAATTATTTTTGTACAATAGAAAGGCATTATTTTAATATCACTTTACTTTGGAAAATCGTCTATTATTCAGATGAGTAAATTGATCAAGTGTTATCAACAGTCGCGCATAGTTTGGTTAGTGCAGGTACGTATACTTTGGTTAGTGTTAGTGTGCTGTTAATTTGTAAATGCTTAATACTAATACCAGGGGAATTCTATTTGAAATAGCCTGCAAACACTAGCCTGTAAAACCATCCAAAAGGTACCATAAACAGCACTAGAAAGTCAAGGAAATAACACCATTTTCAACCTCATATTTCAAAATTTTCTCAGTCTATGGGAGGGGACACCCCTCCCCTCCCTGGCCCACCCCAATTACATATATTTTTCTTAATTTCATATCATCTAAAATATTTGCAGAAATATTAGTATACACATATATAAAGCGAAAGTACATTGCCACTCACCAATTGAGCTATAAAACACATCTATTACATTTTTTTTGTCACATATGCACAATTTTCGCCTGTTGCATTAGTTTTGTCAAAATCTTCCACCCATATGTCAGCCCCCCAGGAACCATACTGTATCCGCCCCTGACTTTTTGCGAAGTTACTCAATATTTTTAAGTAACGTTAATATACGCAAACTAGACTATTATCAAAGTCATTTTAATTACAGATTTGTTAATAACAACTAAAATATTTCTATTATGAAAAATGAAAGCAAATTATTCATTTCATTATTTAATCTAAATTTCAATAAATCATGTATTTTATAATAAACGCTACATTAAATGATTTTTCACTAAGGTTTAATACTTCCGCTCTTTAGGAAATAGTTAGAAGAGGCAGGAAGTGAGACTATGTCACGTGACTTGGGCGGAGTCAACAGGAAAAGCGCTGAGTGTGTTGATAGCGAATAATACTGAGTGTGTTGATACAAAGCGACAACCTACTGCAACAGCTGATATGGGAAAATTCCATGGAAAAAAGTAACTAAATTTAGCTCTACACTTTATAAGGTATGTAGCAAAGTAGTAGAAGATTTTGTAATGATGCTTATGCCATGTGCTCTTGGTGTGCATAGACACTTACTTTTAAGCTGCCTGATTTGTGTAGAATAACTAGTCTCAATACATGTACATATGTCACACTGTAGCTATATAGTTCATCAGCTGTACATGCATAGTACTGTATTGATGAAGGAAAATTACAACTACAAATCTTCAGCTCTGAAAATTTTATAGATCCAGAGCATATATATATTTGGTATGTAGCAAGTGGTCTCTGTAGTGTGTAAAATACACTTTTTAAGGTTAAAATTTGCACACCCAGGGGCTGGAGTCACATGGTTCAAGACCTAAATATTTTTCATTTATCCTCTTTTAATCAGGTCTTTTTATTTTTTTTTTTTTCGCCATCTTGAATGATGTGCATTCAATGTCTACGTCCCCATTAGGGGTTTAACATTATTGGAATAGATTGGATAGATAGCTAGATAGACCTTGGGGTTTGGAGTAATAAAAACTAAATATGTGAACAATTCTATACCCCAATATAGATGCATGTTATCTACAGTAATTAAAGCACCAATGATATAATCAATATTAAGTATATGAAGTGTTTGTGTATTTCAGAATTTCAACAGAAGTATGGGATCTATAGAACAATATAAACAGATATGGTGTAATGCAGACGTTGTGTGTTTTGATGTTGATTCTACAGTTATCAAGGATGAAGGTTTAGATGAACTTGCAGAATTTTGTGGTGTTGGTAAACAAGTTAAAGAGTGGTAAACATATGTACCTTTATGTAATACAGTATTATCAAAGTAAAGAGAGTGTTAGAAAATTTTTTAACAAATTAAGTTTTGAAAAACTTAAAAGTGTTAAATTTTCTTCATTTCTTTTCATTGATGTCTTGACAATTAAAGTTCAGTCCAAGCAGAGCTTGATTTTTGTTAGTCAACCTTAAGAATCCAGATGTTTCTGATTTTTTCAAATGGCATGGCCAGATTAGTACAATGACTAAGTGAGGAATTACCATGTGTTTTACAGGACAAATAAAGCAATGGGAGGAAGTATGAGATTTAGAACAGCATTAGAAAAGAGGTTAGATATTATACAGCCCACCATGGACCAGGTAACAAAGTTCAGAGAGACACAATCTATCAGGTTCTCTGACGGTCTAGAGTAAGAGCATTTTGTTTGACTTTCTTTATATTTGATGCCTATTCTTGTAACTTGCTCCACTTTTTAAGCACAACTATACGAAGTATATGGAGAGCTGTCCTACTTGCCCCGGCGTCGGCGTCCAGATTTAGATTAAAGTTTTGGTGCAGTAAAATATTTTTCACTATAACTTTGTCATTTCTTAAGGTATCAACTTCAAACTTCAAATATATGTTCCTTATCATCAACCACATCTTATGTGACAAGGTTCATAACTCTAGCACCAATATTTTCAGATTTATCTCCCCTTGAACTTAGAATTTTTCTTAAAAAATACTATTTTTTACTGTTGCTTCTTTATTTCTTAAGGGATCAACCTCATACTTCAAATATATGTACCTTATCATCATCCCCATCTTATGTGACAAGGTTCATAACTCTAGCACCAGTATTTTCAGATTTATCTCCCCTTGAACTTAAAATTTTCCTCAAAAAGTACTATTTCTTACTGTTGCTTCTTTATTTCTTAAGGGATCAACCTCATACTTCAAATATATGTACCCTATCATCATCCCCATCTTATGTGACAAGGTTCATAACTCTAGCACCAATATTTTCAGATTTATCTCCCCTTGAACTTAGAATTTTCGATAAAAAATATTATTTTTTACTGTTACTTATTTATTTCTAAAGGGATCAACTTCATACTTCAAATATATTTACGTTATCATCGTCCATATCTTATGTGACAAGGTTCATAACTCTAGCACCAATATTGCAAGAATTATCTCCCCATAAACTTAGATTTTTTTTACTAGAAAAATGTTATTTTTTATTATAACTTTTTTATTTTTAAAGGTATCTACCTCAAACTTCAAATACTTATTCCTTATCATCAATTACATTTTATGTGACAATGTTCATAACTCTTGAAGCAATATTTACACATTTATCTCTCTTTGAACTTAGGATTTTCTTTAAGAAATATAATAACTTCTTTACTTTTTAAGGTATCTACTTCAAACTTCAAATATTTTTATATTTCTTATCATTACACAAATGTTGTGTGACAAGGTCCATAACTCTAGCATGACTATTTCTAGAATTATTCCCCTTGATCTTGGAATTTATGTTAACAAATATTATTTTTTTACTATAACTTAATACATAATTATACATAATTGATTTTTCTTTCATAGTTTTGTCCTCCTTACTGCGTCCAGTATTTTATTAGTCGAGCTTCGCTGTCTCCTGTGACAGCTCTTGTTTACATGTAAGGTCGTTCTAAACAGTTAAGGCTGACCTGTTAAACTTTATTAACATTAATTGTCTACCTATTTTACTTATTTAATAGTTTAAGTCTACTTCTTTGATTGTCTTAACAATTAAGACTTACCTGTTTGACTTCAATCATATTTAAGGGCAACCTCTTTGACTCCTATCTTATTTAAGGGCTACTTGTTTGATTTCTTTAAAATTTAAGGCCTTTCTTCACATATAAGGCCAACCTGTCAATATTCCTTCACATATTGAAATAATTGTCATTTGTGGTATATGTCTTTTTTTTTTTCTTTTAGAAATTTTGGAATCATAAAGAGTGCATGATTTATTTCAAATGGTGACTCGAATTTTTAGTGTTTGTGTTTACATTTGTATTAAAATGCACTTTGCCAATCTAATGTCTGTATTTGCATTATGTACTGAATGTTCACAATGTTTCTGTTATTGTTTCAGAGAACTTGTAAAGTTGCTACATGAACGAGGAACAAAGGTGTATTTGGTATCAGGTGGATTTAGAAGTATAATAGAACCAGCAGCCAAGTTGTTACATATACCATACACAAATATCTTTGCCAACAGGCTCAAATTCTTTTATAATGGTATTGTTGTTTTGTTTAAATTTACCTTAAATTTAAGTTTCATGCCCCCAGATAAGCAAGAAAAAGAAAAACAGGAGAAAATTGTACTAAGATTTTAAGAAAAGTAAATAGATTCAATATCAAAATATTAATTTACATGTTATGTGTGATGAACAACTGATTTTGCATTCCATATTTCTACTACTATGTTACTAACACAGTAAGGGCTATTATCCAATATATTGACCTCTCTTGGTAACTTACCTTGATTGTAAGCACTGTTTGCAATAAGTAAATATATATATTTGTTCACTTCATAATATTTTTTTCATCTTTAAACACATTTTCAAAAATTTCATGAAAATTAGAATGATTCTGAAGGCATGCTGCTTTAAATGGTATAGTTTGTTAAGCCTTCAAAATACAGTGCAACCTGTGCAAAGCAGCCCTCTACAGAGAAATAGTTTCTTAACAACAACAGTATCAATTCTTCCACAATAAACTTCTTCTCAGCAACAACACAAGTATTTGTCTCCCAAATTGTCTTGCTGTACGAAATGTTTTACTGTACAACTACATTCATATTGAATATTCTTTTACAAAGAAACCTACCTTACAGTCCTGTTGAGCTCCCAGAAATTTCCTTTGAGGATTGAAGTAAGATTGATTTATATGGTCTTAATTTAATTCAGAGTGTTTGCTGCAAATCACTTTTCAAAACAGTTTCTTAAGATCATAATTATGAAACAGAAATCCACTTATTTCTATCTTAACTGTCATAAAAGGTTAACTTAAAAATATAAGAATCTGGAATGAGGTAGTCTTACTTTAAATTGTCTGATTGTCTTCAACTCTGAGCACATCTACACATTATTCAAAATTAAACTCCATTTCCATGCTTAAATATCAAAATCTACTAAAACCAGAGCAAAGGGGGGTTGGACAGGAGCTGGCATCTATCACCACTGTCCATGAACAGGCTCAATCATACCAAGTTTGCTATATTTTCAATTTTGTCATGTTTGGTGTTCTTTAAGGTTTCCAGTTTTATCTATTTTACTTCATTTTGTTTATATAGAATTGAGCCGCGCCATGACAAAACCAACATAATTGGTTTGCGACCAGCATGGATCCAGACCAGCCTGCGCATCCGTGCAGTCTGATCAGGATCCATGCTGTTGGCTTACAAACCCTATTACAAGTAGAGAAACTGATAGCAAACAGCATGGATCCTGATCAGACTGTGCGGATGGGCAGGCTGGTCTGGATCCATGCTGGTCGCAAATACGTGATGTTGGTTTTGTCATGACGCGGCTCATTTTGGTTATTTCAGGAGATTATGCAGGGTTTGATACAGGAGAGCCTACCAGTGATTCAGGAGGTAAAAAACTGGTAGCCGAGAAACTAAAACAAACCAGTAAAAACCTCGTGTTTATTGGAGATGGGGCAACAGATCTTGAAGCTTATCCACCAGCTGTACGTACTATATGTTAACTTCATTTAGGAAGTAGATATAAATTTGAAATTTATTTAAACCATATGAAATTGTTTTTGTTTTAAAATGCCTGAAAAATTGATTAAACCATACAAAATTGTTTTTGTTTTAAAATGCCTGAAAAATTGGTATCTATTTCCTTGGCAACATGCTGATAGAAATCCCATCGTTGTTATATCTTGAACTACATTGTGCAGAGAAGTAATTTTTACATGGGTGCAAGTTAAAAATTTTGAAAAACCTGAACTATATGTTTGGGGCCCAAGGGGCCGCAAGGGCCCCCGGTGGGTCCAGGGCAACGCCCGGCCAGGGGTTCAGGGGGCCAGAGGCCCCCGGAAGCTCCTGCATTATAGCACATTTGAAGGCCTAAAATGCAATTTCCTTGAATGATTACATGCCAGATAACATACATACTGTAGTAAAGTATTTTCACTTAAATACTGCTCACATAATTATTTTCTTCTTTTCTCTCTCTTTTTCTTAATTATATAAACTAAAACATTTCAACACAAAAAGAAATGTGCATTCATATATTGTTTCCACTATTTAATATTGTGGTTCCAACAGTAAAGAGTGATAAAACAAACCAATATATAAATAAATTGAAAATTCTGTTGATTTGTACCGAGTTTACGTTTTAATTAGGGCTGAGCTGACCCTGATTCCATACAAACAATAAATTGTTTTCAAATAAGATAATTAAAACAAGTCTGGTTATGTTTCACAGTAAGTTTGTTTTTCATATTCACGAATTCGAAAACCTAGCTAAACGCCGTTTTCCGGTACTTTCCGTACATAGCTCTGGGGAATTCACCTGATGGAGTGTAATAGCTAACTCGATGTTTTCGGCCTTTTTTAAAATGAAATTGAAATAAAACAGTTATTTCTTTATAAGAAAATACATAAATATCATTGTATGAATAATTCCACACAAAAAATGATGTAAATACGCAAGTTTACCCAGAAAATAACCTTATTTATTATGGAAGATTCCACTACGTCTGTTTTAATTCTATTGATTTTTATTATAAACAATTTATTTTTTGAAAAATTTGCAATAGATATTAAAGGAATATTGATAATTTTCAAAAAACATACATTTTTTCACCTTAAACGGTAAAAAAATGATAGAAAAATAGAAATATCATGTAACTGTGTTATGTACTTCATTTGGTGTAATTCCCCAGAGCTAAATCCGTAATGTACCGGAAAATGGTGTTTAGCTAGGTTTTCGAAAAGGTCAATGGTTTAGATCGTCTGCATACATTTAATTCTTTTTTTCCCGCTGGATCCATACTTGAGCTACGCCGGGAACGTCACGTCTGGCTTTTCCAGCCAGTTTCCGTAGTTATCCTGTTTCGATCACATACAGACAACCATTCCCATCTCCATTTATTTGTTGAGGTCTTCTCGATATCTTTTGTATTAAATCCTTCGTGTAGAAACTTCATTTTGACTAACAAATTGTACAATTACTCTGTTTACATATTACTCTGTAGCCGAATCGGTAACGAAGCCGCTTTTTCATTGGATGATTATAATTAGCGCGCCAATCTAAATCGTTGTAATAAATTCACGGATAAAATTGCATGCCGGGATTAATAATACATAATTTCGTAAACATCTCGTATATCTTCGGAAACTATCGGCAGTTTCCGCGAAAGTTTACTATTGAGGCTTCGAGAACAACCGTGAGCATCCGTATGTTATATAGCGTTCTCAATTATGAACTTCTAATAGGTGGTACTTCTCCGTTTGAAAGAGTAGACCCGCACCATACCCCTCCAAATATCTCAACGGATTTACGTGATTTGCAAAAATGATCCCTCCGGCACGTGAAAAACCGGAACTTCCGGCACATGCCGGAAAACTTGCACCCATGTTTTTATGATGTCAAAAATTTTGGTTTATTGTCACGACAAATGAGCTGCGTCACGACAAAACCAACATAGTGTGTTTGCGACCAGCATCGATCCAGACCTGCCTGCGTATATGCGCAGTCTGATCAGGATCCATGCTGTTCGCTTACCAACTCTATTACAAGTAGAGAAACTGATAGCGAACAGCATGGATCCTGATCAGACTGCGCAGATGCGCAGGCTGGTCTGGATCCATGCTGGTCGCAAACGCACTATGTTGGTTTTGTCGTGAAGCGGCTCAAATGGCAATAAAAATGTGCCTAATTTCCTTTTCCTGTACAATAGTGTGTAACAATACACTAGACTGCTCTGTGTTAATAAGGAAAGGATTTGAAGCGTGTTCAAATATTAGACAATGTATTTTTTTTTCTAATCTTAAACTTGAGAATAGTATATAATCTTAATATTATTATATAAGGAACTTCACCTTGTCTTTCACTATATCTTCCTATATGTTAGCAATGTTTTAATGACGTTATTTTGAATGATTAACATATAAGACATATTTAGGGGGCGTCTGTGGCCGAGTGGTTAAGGTTGTTGACTTCAAACCACTTGCTCCTCACTTCTGTGGGTTCGAATCCCGACAGGGACTTTGGATTCTTTCATGTGAGGAAGCTATCCAGCTAGCTTACGGAGTGTCGGTGGTTCTACTCAGGTGCCCGTTCGTGCCTGAAATAATGCATGGAAGGGCACCTGAGGTCTTCCTCCACCAGTAAAGCTGAAACATCGCCAAATGACCTATACTGTGTCGGTGTGACGTAAACCCAATCAAAACAAAGACATATTTACTTTACTGTTTTATATTACAGGATTTATTTATAGGTTATGGGGGAAATGTTCAGAGAGAAAAAGTGAAACAGAATGCTCCGTGGTTTGTTACAGATTTTCAGGATCTTATTCAACCATTACAAGGCTCCAGATAATGTTAACTTTTATATAGGAATTATTTTTCTTTACAGATGCAATATATTTTACGAAAATTTTATGTCAGTCAGTCAGTATTAAACTTTGGATATATAATGTACAATAATAGTTCATGTATGAGGTTTATCATACATTGTCTAGTACAATACTGAAGTTCTTTTGCTGTAACACCTATATTGGATGTGGCACAAGTCATGTCCAATACAGGTTTTGCAGTTGTGTACTGGTCCAATAAAATCACTTGAGTAATGTACTTAACAATGTTTAATGATATCTTTTATTTCACACCAACAATTAAATATTTTATACTGCCTGTTTTTACTTTCAAGGTTGTGTTGTTGGGTTTTTTTGTGTTTTGGTGAATAAAATTATTAATTCTGTTATCATTTAATATTTGGACAGAACTTTGTTAACTTTAATAAAGCTTTCTTGCGGACAACATCCAATCCATTGTTAAAACAGAACAAATATGTTAAGAGAGATAACTTTTACAAGAATGATTCCAACCACTGGTAGAGTTACTTCAAATACAATATTGTTTTGATACGGATTTATTTTTGGACTAAAAAAAAAGGCTAGATGAAGTACAATATGAATTTGAAAGGGATTTATCAGACTTTGAAAATGAGAACAAGGTTAAATTGACCACATTGGATCCAATGATTTAAATCCAAAATTTATATGGTGCAAATGGTACAAAATAAGTTCACAACAAAATACAAGTGCTTTATTATTTTAATGGTGATGGACAGAATTTTATACGTGCTTGATGGGGGTAAAATATTGAATTATAATAATTTACTGTCATTGATTGTAAAGTTCCAATATTTTCATAAATTAGACAATTTATTTTTATATTTTTCAGTAATGAACTTGCTGGCAGTCATTTAATTTGAAAATGCATTTTTAATTATGAGCAAAATATTGTATTGTTCAATGTAAATTTGAGAGAAATAAATATATATACCATACAAATATTGTACAGTTTTCATCAAAGTGCTCTTAGAATGATAACAAAAACACATTCAAATTATCAAACATATTTATTTGAGATAATATTTCTCGTTAATTTATTTTTACTTGGATTCATTATCATCATTACTTAGTTCATTACTATCAGTGTCTTTATTGTTTTCTTCCACTTTATCTATGTTATCTGTGACATCATCAACATCTGCTGTATTTAAATCCGGTCTGTTTAAATACTCTATGGCTGTGGTGGAGGCAGTTCCACCCCAGATCTTCGGGAAATTTTTCTCCGAGGGAGGAAGGCCGTCGGGTTTGAGAGGGTAAATGGTTCCTTGAAGACGACAAGCTATTTTGTCAAACATCTGCAGGAAGAATGAAAATTAAAACATCATATTAGATATCAGCAATATCAAACAAAAGAGCGAAACCTATAGGACAAATACAATTTAAGTAACTAATTGGTTATTGGTAATATCTATACAAAAAGAGTGAAATCTGTAGGAACCGATAATTATTTATTTCTCAGCAAGTGACGATTAAGTTCTCCCACAAGATTTCTCAATCAGCAGTGAGAGACAAATGCTCAGCACACTCAATGTCCAAGATTGTCACTGACAAATTTGGCATAGCTCAAAGATCAAACCAGGACCACTGGACTTAATCTGATACTCTCCATTGTGCTAAACAGGCAGACCTTGGACCAGAAAGAAGGACCACCAGTATTTTCTTCTAGCAAAATATGATCAATTTTGGTTTATATAAAACAAAATAAAATCAGGATCATTTTACCGTTTACATCTTTTGTTAGGGACCAGGTTAGAACCACGGCTCTCCCAATTATAAAAATGTAATAGTCAAGGTAAAAGCTACATAAAAAGTTCCATCCATGGTAACTTGTGTAATCTAAGTGCCTTAACTTTTATATAGGACAACTTGGCAATTCCATATACCACATATCTTTGCTTAAGACTTTTGTGTGATAAAGGGTCCACTAGGCCAGTTCAATTTTTATTCTGGGTCATGATTAATGAATGTAACTATAGAGGATCAGCAGGAAATGCTATCTACCAAATATCTTACCTCTATACTTTCATTTGAAGATTACAGTACTAGACACCACACAATATATTATATACAAATACGATCAGTAACTGTTGTGTTCAGTCAAAAACTACCAACACATTTGGCAGAAAATTTATCTTAGAATAAAGATAGACATTGACACTAGGTGAGCACAGAAGTTTGATAGCTGAAAACTTGATCATAAAAAGAAAAAATTTACATCAATTGATAGTAATTTATCAGGTGAAGATGATTAATAAGATTTGAGCCAATACACTACATGTAGTTTATTACACTGTAATTACATTAATGCATCAATACCTGAAGTTTGAAAGTAAAATTTCCAAAGTCCATCACAGGCTCTGTTGGCATAATAATGTTTTCCTCATTCAGCATTACACCCTAAAATATAACATAAATCAAGTCAGTTTAAACTTTATTTAAGTTTAGCTCAATTGTAAAGTAATCTTTCCAGAAACTAACTAGAAGTGGTGTCATATGAGTAAACATTGTTGTTAAACTGGCCAGAATTAAACCCACAATCCCATGGTTTAGAGCTAGACTATCTAACCACCATCCCTGCCTCCCTTTTTCTAAGGGGTCATAAGTCAGTTTCAAACCAAAGCTGAAGTAATTTCAAACAAATATAATATCTTATATTAAAGTTTTATGTGTTTGCTGTCTGGGGATAAGTGTGCTCCACCTTCCTCGGTACTATTTTCTGGGTTAGGTTTCATATTGCACCAACACAGTATAGGTCATATGGCAACTTTCCAGCTTTACTGGTGGAAGAAGACCACAGGTTTAATGCCCTTCGATGCATAATTCCAGGCACAAACAGGCACCTGAGTAAAACCACTGACATGCCATAAGCTACCTGGATAGCTGCCTCACATGAAAGAATCCAAAGTCTGTTTGCATTTGAACCCACAGTGGTGAGCAGCAAAATGTTTGAAATCAACAGCCTTAACTGCTCAGCAACAGACGCCACTTTTTTCTCAGTACTTGATAGCATGATGAAAGGAAATTAGTAAAGGATGCATAATTCTGATCAACTTTGGCAGAAATGTTTGCCTTGATTAACCTTAAAAGGTAAGACAGGACAAAAAATACAAGTCAAAAGGGGCATAACTTTGCAAAGTATAAATTTATGATTACATTGTATCTGCCCTTTTGATATTTCATCACATGGTAAAAGTGAACAAAGAAATCAAGTTTAAAGTGAATAGCTTTAGTAGTATCTGAGAAAATTTACCTTAATCTATTTACCTTTTAAAGGTCACAGTGACCTTGACCTGTTGACCTCAAAAGCATGTGACAAGAAGAACTCGTTAAAGTGTATAGTATATAGAAAGTTTCAATGTTATAGCTTTACTAGTAATGAAGTTAATGACCATAAACAAAAGATTTGCCAAGGCTGACGAGAGGGTCCTGACAATAGCTCCACTTTATTAAATAATTTGACGAAAAGTGAAGCTAAAAATGTTTGTAAGACTATAAAAGCATTTTTTAAGACAACAATTATATTATAAGCAGATAAAGGGGCATTTACAAAAGGGCAGTGTATTTAAACAGGGTTAAACAAGAGATTGTTGATCATAATTATATATACATGTATATATATAGTCATAGATACATACCATTTTTCTGAAAGCTATCCGAACATGTGCCGGTTCTAAAATCCACTCATTATTTGGGTGCATGAAAACTCGTAATTGAAATTTTGCCATTCTGCGCATCAACTAAACATGATAAAGATACAAAATTAAGCAACTTAAATGTATACACATCATATGATTATCAATAAGGCAAAATTTGTATGTTTAGTTCCCTAGTTCAACATGTTTTTGGTCATGTGTCAGTTGTATACACAGGTAATCAGCGCCATTCCTGGATAACTAACCAGTAATTACCCAGTTTTTTCAACCAATGATCCACTATATATCTGTTATCTCCCACGATGTTGAAATCAACAATGTGAGTGATTGACCCCTGATCAATTGTCAAAGTTATGATTCAGTTCTCCCTACATACACTCTTTTTTTAATTTACTGACTTATTTTTTCTGGTTTATTTCTTTTAAAGGCCCATGACTCTAAATATGCTATTATTCTTATCAGGCCGATGTCTGTAAAAAATCAGTTTGACTTCCTGTAAATTGTACAGGGAAGAACTGAATATAAGAAGAATTTTCATTGGTCATTTTAAAATTACAAACTGAAATCTGGGAATCTGATTGGCCATTCTAAAATAAAATGGTTTAGGATAGTTCTTTCCATTCTCAAATAAAATTTTAAGAATAGTTCTAAAATAAAATATAAAAGATAGTTTTTATATTAGATGTGAGAGAAAGTCAAGTTATATAGTACAACATTTCTTACCTGTTTTGTTTCATAATCTATGCCCCCGTCGTCAGATAACTGAAAGTAACATTATTTATCATTAATATTCATCATTAAAACGGACATGGACAGAAACATCCATTAAACATACTATATGTATTTCATATGTACTATGCCTCTATGACGAAGCTAAACATTACGTTTTTATTTAAATATTGGTAATTGGACCTAGATCAAAGAGAGTCTGTTCATTTGCTGTTTCTGACTGACCAAACCAAAACTTACAAAACCATTTTCCCAATTAAGATTACTGGAAAAGTCCAAATAACACTTATACATGTATGATAAAAAATATTTTAAATCATATCTGTAATGTTTTAAAGCAAAAACTTTTCTTTTTCATGATGTACGTAATGTTTTAGTGTAACAAACTTTATGTTTTCATTAAGAACGTAATGTTTTTAGTGTAACAAACCTTTCTTAAGTCTTCATATAAGATTAAATTTTCCGGAGACGCATACACAGCGGCCCCTGATGGATACAGTTCATTTCTAAACAGCTTCTTAGGTACCTCCACCACTGTCCCTTTCAAACCTATATCTGAATTATACAAAGATTACATTAGGTAATAATGGACTCTCCACACAGAAGCACAAAAGAATAGGCACAAAGTATGGAGGATGTAGTAGAGGAAAACATAATTAATAATGTATTTAAGTCTTTGCCTTACTTTTTCATACAATGAGAAAATTTAAATTTTTATTTTTTCTGACAATCCATTTCGCCTTAACTGTCCTCTACAGAGTTTGTTTAACCATTCATTTAAACACTGCCTCTTTCTTGATCAATACAATGCATGCCTAGGTAAAGTAGGTCAACAACTAAGTAAGAGGCTCAAGAAAATATTATATCTTAAACAGCTACAGACTCTTCTATATCAATCTTTTCGAGATGTTCAAAATGTTTAATATTTCTGAATACAGTAAACTCTACTTATAACGCACTCATTTGGATATTCAAAATCTGTTCCTTATAGCTGGAGTTCCTTGTAAGCATATAGCGAATTAGTTCCTTGTATCAGGAGTTTTTATAGCGAACAGATTTACATATATATAACAAACTGATTGTTTATCATTGTCCTCCATTTTGAAAATCATTTGATTAAGAAAAGTTAGTTATTTACTGTATGTGTAGAAATATTCGCGTGCTTCAAATTTTCGCGATCTTCGAGGTGACTTTCGACCCGCGAATTCATGTTTAGCGCGACTATTTCTGCAACAAAAATTTCTTAAAAGTCATATTTTCGCGCTTCTATAGAACAATGTATTTCAGTATGTGATGTACTTTCACACTTTATATTTAAATCTTTACTGTGTAATTGTGTTTTGTTTTCCAAGTTACTAATCATTTAAAATCGTTTATATTTGTGTTTTTTAATTGTTTGTTCAGAAAAACAAAACATGCTCTGATCAGAAGTCAAGACGTTTATGACGCAATCTGTGAAAATTATGCACGTTAACGGGCATTCTTTTGTTTTCTATAATCTGTCCGCTAGACAATGACTTTTTTCTGTACAATGGAGTAATTTTGACACCTGGTATTGAAAATAACTGTGAAGTCCTTTTTTTAACCTGAGTGGTCTACGCAAATTTATGATTTTTGTCACCTCCGCGAATTCAAAATAGCGCGAATATTTGTATAGAACCCCAAAGTGGACCTTTCCGCAAAAATTTGCTTCCGCGAATTTAAATACACATACAGTATTCTTTTTTAGACACAATACCCGAGAGCATACTTTTTGGAATTTGAAAATCCTTTGCTATTTTAGTTTTACCTTTACTCCTTTTCTCAATTTCTCATAAAATATCATATTTTATTTCTAAACTCAGTGCTTTTTGTTTTCTTACCATGATTAGGAATAAACAAGATTTTCGATTTGTCTTCGGGCTTCCTTTTATATTACTTTTACTTATGAGAGATATAGATATCTTTCATTTCAATAAAGCGTACTTTGTAGTTTTCAATGGATTAGCAAGCAATTGTGTGATTTTGCTAATAACCGACTATTAATGATCATAATTATTTAACTCGAAAAAAAACTATTAAAGAAAAGAAATAACAGAATAAAAGGAATAACCGTTTTATCTTGGTGCTAAATATATCCTAAAAAGAAAGCTATAACTTACTGCTATACAAATTCATTTTCACAGCTGTAATGATGAACAAACAACAATAAACGGTACATTCGGTCGAGTTTTAATCTGTGCCAATGAATATGAAAGTTGAAAATGCTAGATCAGGCCTGGACACTAACTTTTTCAGCAGGTGGTAAACCGGACCACTAGATTTGAAATTTAGGTGGTCCTTCCAGAAGTCAGGTGGTCAATTATTATTATTATATTATTATTTTATTGTTCTTGAATTATTTGCTAGTTGCTTGTTGGTTGATTGTTATTTTTGACATCAAGTATTTTCAACCCTTTAAAGTAATTTCAACTCTGGAATGGTTAAAATAAAGATAAATAGCAAAAAATTACTTGATATATTTTTTCCATTTCCTTTCGTTTGCTGCCATTATTCAAGTATCTGAATGATTTTAAACAGATATATTTAGATATATATTTTTTTCATCTATCAGAAATTAAGGAGAGCAAGTCAGTAGGTATTCTATCGTAAAGTTATTTGGTTTTTTTTTTATCTCATTCAAAAATACATAACAGGGCTCGTATTTATGCTATCTTTTATATTGAAGTGATTTCTCCCTCAAATCAAGTTAGGGAATAGTGAAACCATTTGTGTCTGTCTTATTTTCTTACTGATATTCAAATATACATTGCTGATACATGGTATGTCTTATAATCATAATTATCTTTTACAGACTAACATTTTTAATAAAACTTAATAATCTTATTCTTGTCTTTGAAAACAAGGAAATCTCTCAAGGATAAAAGATTATACCATTGTTAAATATAACTAGTTTAGCTTATTTTTCTCACAGATTTAAAATACAGAATTTCTACCACCCTGTTGCTTGTTGGTTGATTGTTATTTTTGACATTGAGTATTTTCAACCTTTTAAAGTAATGTCAACTCTGGAATGGTTAAAATAAAGTAAATAGCAAAAATTACTTGATACAGTAAACTCCGCTTATAACGAACTCATTGGGACATTCAAAATATGTTCCTTATATCCGGAGTTCCTTGTAAGCATATAGCGAATTAGTTCCTTGTATCAGGAGTTTTTATAGCGAACAGATTTACATATAACGAACTGATTGTTAAACATCGTCCGCCATTTTTAAGAGCATTTGATTAAGAATAATTAGTCATTTATAGACACAATACCCGAGAGCGTACATTTTGGAATTTGAAAATCCTTTGCTATTTCAGTTTTAGTTTTACTTCCTTTCTCAATTTTTATATTTATATTTTAAGGGTGACTTTAACTTATGAAATATATAGATTTTTTTTTCATTTCAATCAAGCATACTTTGTAGTTTTCTATGGATTATGTTTGCAAGCATGCGTGATTATGTTGAAAACCGATAATTATTTTACTCGAGCAAAACTATTAAAGAAAAGAAATTATAGAATAAAAGGAATAATTATTACCGTTTTATCTTTGTGACAAGAACTGAAGCTAAAAATATCCTAAAATAGAAAGCTAAAAATATCCTAAATAGAAAACTATAACATACTTCTATACAAATTCATTTTCATATATTGAATTACATACAACAATAAACGGTACATTCCGCGAGTTTTATTCCGTGCCAATGAAAACGAAAATTGAAAAAAAACGGGATATATTTACGAATAGCCGATATTTGGAGTTCGTTATAAAAGTGTAATTTTATGCACTTTTAACTAAATTGGGACTAAGAAATGAGTTCCTTATAAGCGATAATTCATTATAACCGTGTTCGCTATAACCGTATATTTTTATATTAAATAAAGAAGGACAAAATTCGGGCCAAAATAAATTGTTCCTTATAACCGGAAGTTCGCTATAACCATGTTCGCTATAAGTGAAGTTTACTGTATATTTTTTTCCATTTCCTTTCGTTTGCTGCCATTATTCAAGTATCTGAATTTTAAGTTTATCCGACATCCAATACAATATCATAACTAAAAATGTGTCATCATGCCACGGATGCCCCCGCATGCAGCCAAAATTTCAGATGTTATGATATTTAGTTCCAAATTTGTTTGCACAAATTATTGTTTTTCATTATAAGTTCAAAGCCCTTAAAACTTTCAATGTTAACACAAACCATTTTTATACAAAGTTCAAGGCACTTAAACTATTCAGTGTTAACCTTTTGTAACTTGCATATTGCCTATTTGTCGCCAAAATAATGGCTACATACATTTCCACAAAAGTATGAGTGCTGAAACTGAAAATTCAAAATTTTTCTAACATTCAAGAGAGATTACTTTGTCCAAAATTATAGAACCACAACCAAATTCAAACTTAAATTGCTTATTTCTAAGATGTAACTATATGTCAAATTTGAGTTGAATGTGTACAACAATTGGGGAGATAATGAACGGAAACTAAAAATTTCTGACTTCTTTCAAAGTTCAAGAGGGATAACTCTGTCAGCTATCATCAAACCATGACCAAATTCGAAATTGATCAGTACATTCTTATGACATATTCATATCTTAAAATTTGAGTTGAATGTGTACAACTGTTGGGGAGATAATGAACGGAAACTGAAAATTTCATATTATTTTCAAAGTGAAAGGGGCATAACTCTGCCAAAAATAATCGAACCATGACCAAATTCGAACTCAATCTGGGTATCCATATGTCAAGTTGGAGTTGAATGTGTCATACTGTTGAGATAATAAATGGAAACTGAACATTTCATATTATTTTCAAAGTGAAAGGGGCATAACTCCTGGTTTGATGACCAAATTAGAACTTGACCTGTATTTTCTCATGACATATCCATATGTCAAATTTGAGTTGAATGTGTGCAACTGTTACTAAGATAATGAACGGAAACTGATGATGACGGAATGACGGAACAGGGTAACACTATATGCCCATAATGGCTGGGGCAAAATGACGGAATGACGGAACAGGGTAACACTATATGCCCCAGCCATTATATGGCCGGGGCATAAAAACAAAAGTTCATTATTCATCTGTGCTATATTTCAAGATCTATATATGTATATGTTTTGTATGTATTGCCAAAGGCAAGGATTTACCGATTTGCAAATAAAATTTGAACTTTGAACTTTGATTCATCAATTTTTTTATGGAGCATAATAATACATCATTCATCAATTATTATGGAGCATAATACATGTAATACATTAGAAACCTATGAAACAAGGGGATTTGTCCAGCCTTGCAGTACTACAAGCATAATATCTTAGCTAAACTATCAGGGTAAAATGGGCCAAGTTTGACCCCAATGACATAATTTAAAATCAATAGATGTCAATTGGTATAAATGTTATAAGGTCTGCAAAATAAGTTTATCACTCTTTGCATAAATTATAGTGAAACTTACACTGATCTGCTCACAGGAAAACGTCGCGTGGCCATGACTTACACTATACCCCCATTCCCCCTCTACAACCCAAAACCCTTAAAAATAAATTTTATGAAAAAAAAAATTTTATGACTGTAATAAATTATATTACGCGATGTTTACCTGTGGATCTGCTAAGCTACATGCAGTATATTTTGAACTCATAAAATTCCACTTAAAATACCAACACCCACGAGTTTACCTGTGTAAACTTTCAAAACAGTTATCAGTGGTTTAAGTTCAATAAAAATAGATAGCGCTGTATAAAAAGAAATATTGACTTAAACAAGAGAGCCATGAAGGCCCTGAAATCGCTCACCTGTATATAGACCCCAGGGGTGTGGCCAATTTTAACCCAAGGGCTTTTATTTGAACAAACTTGGTAGACACCCATTAGAAGATGTTTCCTGATAAATATCTAAGCTCTATCTCTTTGGGGTTTTTATAAGAAGATTTTTTAAGTTTTTACTAGATACATAATTATAGGGAAAAATAATGACCACCCCCCCTGGGTTGGGCCAATTTTGACCCAAGGGCTTTTATTTGTTCAAACTTGGTAGACTCTCACTAGAAAATATTTCATGCTTAGTATCTAAACTCTAGCTCTGATGGGTTTTTTAAAGAATATTTTTTTAAACTTTTACTATACACATATAAGGAAAATCAATTAACCCCAGGGCGATTTTTTCAAAGAAGATCTTTTAGGTTTTTACTATATACATAAAGGGAAAAACAATGTCCCCTCAGTGGGGCGGGGTCCATTTTTACCCAAGGGCTTTTATTTGAACAAACTTGGTAGACACCCACTAGAAGATCTTTCATATCTAAGCTCTAGCTTTTTGTTGTTTTTTTTAAAAGAAGATTTTTAAGTTTTTACTATATACAAATAAGGAAAATCAATGATTCCCCAGGGCTGGGCCAACTGACCTCATTTATTTGGACAAACTTGGTAGACACTGTCTAGACAATGTTTCATGCCAAATATTTAAGCTCTAGCTCTTTCGTTTTCTATAAAAAAAGACTTTTTTAAAGGGGTTTTTTTCGGTTGCCATGGCAACCACTTCTGCATAAAATAAAATTTTCTGAACAATTTTTTAAGTTGACTACAAAAAGAACACTCCTGTGAAGTTTGGATGAAATTGACTTAGATGTTTTAATTAAAATTTTACGGACGCCGGACGAAAAGCGATCACAATAGCTCACTATGTCACTTTGTGACAGGTGAGCTAAAAACTGATAGCAAAATATTTTTTTCAATAAAACTTTTTAGTGTGAACTTTGGAATACTAAACATTATTATTAAGATATAATGAAATAAATGATTGGTTAAGAAAAATATGAATTTTATTCATGGAAATTAAAGTGTTTATAAAATAACCAACTTTATATTAATGTGGATAGAAAAAAGTGATAATTAGCTATAAATAAGGCATATTTCCTACGTTTGCCTTATTTTGTTATTAATAAAACCTGTCGGTATTTATGTTTAACAAAGTTTAGATAACAAGCATTTTGGAAAATTGGATTAAGGAGCACAAAGCCAAAACATTCAAAAGACAAAAAGATGGATAATTCAGTAAAAAAAACCAAAAAATCTGGAAAAAGAAAAACTGATGTAGGATTCCAAGCTAAGAAAAACAAAGCCAAAATATGCAAAATCAATGAGTCTGCACAAGTAACTGATGAATCTGATACAGACACAAAAAATTTAACAAAGATCAAGACTGAGGACACTGAAGCATCAATATTTCCCAAAATACCGATCATGGACTCAAGACCAACAGAATATGACGTTGACATAGACAAATGGGATGAAGAAGAATGCCACCAATCAAGTGGTTATTCTGAAAAATGGGAGGATGACAAATGCCTCAGAACAATAAAAACTATTGCGATTACACGGAAGAATGCGTTGGAGGAGAATATTTTTATGAATAAACTCAGAAAATGTTATCAGGAAAAGATTGAAAAAGCTGAATCATCACCTTCATACAGATGTTGTAGTTCTTACAATAATGAGACACAGATATCAAGAATGGATAAAATCATAGCACAAGGGAATATCCCTACTGTCTCTAGGGGAAATCGTCCTGCACCTCCACCTCCTGATCTTCTAGATTAAACTATAACCTTGAACTACAACCTAGCGTATTTTTTCCAGAATAAGAAGTTATATATTATAAACATTAAACTGATACATCCCTCTTTTGATATTCATGAATAGAGTGTTAGTAATGTCAGACATTTTATGTTATTTTTTCTCAAAATTTATTATCTTCTTGTGGATTTAGTTCAGCTTTGCCGACATTGGAAATAGTGAAACTGTGTTATTCTTTTCTGAATTTTTGTTATTAATTCATCATGTAAATATTAGTAACCTTGACCTTTGACCCCTTGACCCCAAAATCAATAGGGGTCATCTGCTGGTCATGACCAATCATCATACTAAGTTTGAAGTTCCTAGGCCTAAGTGTTCTTTAGTTATTGATCGGAAACCAATTGGTCTACGGACCGACCGACAGACAAATGCAAAGCAATATACCCCCTCTTCTTTGAAGTGGGGGCATAAGTACTAGCTTCATTTGAACGAATTTTCTACCGAAATTAATATCACAAATTCTTAACTCTTTTAACTTGCATCAGCAAAGTTTTAACAACTTTCGGACCAACGGACCACTGCTAATGTTGAGGCCTGAAGATCTATTTAAGGATAGCCGATATTTTGGAGTTCGTTTTAAAAGTGTAATTTTCTGTACTTTTAACTAAATTGGGACTAAGAAATGAGTTCCTTATAAGCGATATTTCCTTATAACCGTGCTCACTATAACAGTATACTTTTATATTAAATAAAGAAGGGCAAAATTCGGGCCAAAATAAATTGTTCCTTATAACCGGAATTTCGCTATATCCGTGTTCACTATAAGTGAAGTTTACTTTATATCAACTTTCTTCTGGAGTTTCACCAATGTGGTTTTCTGGTGGTGACTAAAAAATGTAATAAATTTATATCACACATGCATATTAAAGGCCCATTATGCTCAAGAAATGCTTTTATTTCTATTTCTCAAAAGCTTTTTACTTTTGGTGTACTTTTATAGTTTTCAAAAATTTCATTGGCCAATTACCTGAACCATCTGGAAATCAGTACAATTATAGTGTTTAGCATTTAGTATGGAAGTCAAAATACAACTTTGTTAACAATTTGCTGCTTTAGTGACAAATTTGTTCGCAGTTAGTGCTACTTTCTTCAGGTAACAAGCATCTAACATGCTATAAGACCATAAATTAATTTTTATAAATCTCATGTTTTCCCTTTCTGAAGTAGTAAAGTTTTTATTTGTTTCTGATGCATAATGTGCCTTTAAAAATATGTTAAATTTACATAGTAAGCTTGGCTACTATAGTGTCAAAATTACCTGTGATTTCTTTAGTTAAAATACATTTAATTGTGGATTTGTAATCACCAGGATGCTTTAATTTATCAAGTAAATAATGCTTCTTTTTCAAAAGTGGATATTTTCCTACAGCAACCTGGCCAATCTTGTGTTTTCTTTCAAATACAGCAGTTGCAGGATTCTCGTAAAACTGTAATACAAAATACAAAGTTGAGATAGAAAATACATGCGCAAGCTGGTCTGGATCCATGCTGGTCGCAAACCCATTATGTTGGTTTTGTCGTGACGCGGCTCACGTTGTCATTGGGGGATACTGAAAGAGTGCATACTTAATACTAAATTTATTGAACGAGTTGAATAAAATCATATTATGGAAGCCTGAAAGGATTTCAATAAATATAATATTCTTTTTATCACCTCCACAATAAGAACAGTTTACAGTTAAAAACAGTCATTTTTTTCATTGACGCCCTATTGTTAGCATGCTTCAATGCTATGTATAAAACACTAATGACGTCACTTCCAATTGTTATTACAGTATTAGTATATTCTTTTTATTACACTCCTGCACAGCTTTTTCGTAAGTATTTTTGTAACTTTAAGCTTACGTTTAAACTAACGTAAATTGTGTGTTTTCCAAAACATTCGTTAGTTTTTTCTTAAACTTACATTATATTAATATAATAGTGCGTAACTCTTCAAAGAAGGTTTAAAAATAAGTAAATAAGGAGGCGTTTTGGTAATATCTAATGACCGCAAAACATTTTTTAAAAAAGGCTAAATTGGGCCTGGTATTTAGTAGAGTCATCTATGGTTACTCAGGAATGTTGCTGGGCAATTCATATTTTTAATTGCATATTATTTCAACTGCCATCTATCACACAGGGGTTTCTCTTGATTTAAAAAAAATGCATTTATAGAGAAGAAAGGAAAACCCTACATGTATATGATTCATTATGGAAGATATTTAAAGGGTTTTTGTTTGTTTTGAGAAGTGAAAAATCTGTAATGTCCGTTAGTGAAAATGTGGCCTTTTTTCTCATTTTATAATATTCAAGTAACCCACAATTTTTAAAATATTTTTTCTACTTATTTATCTTTATTTTTTTATCTAGTTTACACCTATCAAGTAAAGAAAACCCCTTGATTTTTTAAAGACTTTACACTAAAACTTGGGAAAAACATGCGTAAAAAAAGACGACACAAAAACGCCACATGCAAACAAAAGATATTAAAGCTACATTTAATAAATTTCATAAAAATCTAAGTAGCGACATTTCATTATTAAATTGGGTTTCATATCGATACCAGGTATTATTTTAGTTTCCAGACAACTAAAATGAGTTTTAAAGGCATAAAAAGGGTAACCTCATTGTGGCGAAATGGGAAGTACAATTTATTATTGCATGAGAAACTCCGCCTTCGGATCAGCCGTACATGAATATTGAATCAACAAACACGACTATAAGTAGTAGTCCTAATTTAACGGTATATTTCCCGCATTGTAACGGATGTTTTCATACCAATTTAATCTATTTACGAGATGATTATTTTTTCTGAACCCCAGGCTTAGTGCACCGTGAAGCTAAAACGGTAAAAGTGTGTTTGCACAAGAAAATATCATATTTGTTGTGTTCCGGATAGGAACTATTAAACTGTGACGTACACGAACTCATAATAGGCTTCATTTGCATGTTAAAATTCGTATACGAACTTTAGTGTTACCGTGGGGTTTTCCGTTTAAAATCCTAATTTATGAACAATATTTGATGATATTTACAACAATACTGTTAAACATGTTAATAAAACTGTAGAATGCTTGATTTTTAGGTCGACGACAAAATATTTTTAAAATATTTATTTAATGTAGCTTTAAAGATTTAAGTCATCATTGCAGTTTTTTTGTGAAGTAATGATACCTGAATACTTGCCATAAAAAATAAGTGCAACAGATAATTTTATGTACATTTGCAAATCATACAATTTAATGAACATGTAAAATCACCATTTTGAGATACTTTCCTATTCCGTCTTCAGTTACTTGATATAGTATAAAATAAATGAAATTTACTGAGTTTCAGTTAATATTATATGTCATTTATAAAATTCTCAATAAATCAGCATCAAAGCTTGTGAAAGTAAAATAAAATAAAACACTTAATAACTGATTTATAATACTTTGGGTAGAGGTCAATCACGACTAAGGGTGGTATGTGATACAAGAATATTTTCTGGAGAAGAAGATAGTTATTAAAAGACTTTCATCTTTAAGCTGATAGGACGACTTCCATAATAGCATACATGTATTTTTTTTACTAAATTTTAATTTTTAATAATAAGTCCGTAAAGCCACATTATCCTTTCCTTACTTAGACTACTTTTCTAGAGCCGCTTTCACCATTAAAAAATATTACCAATCACATCCATCTCTAACATTCTCGCTTTCCTGCTCTGCCATTATTCATATATGATGTCAGTCTTACTTACGTAAGTTTAAAGTTAACAAATTTTAAGCGTAACTTTATGTAAAAACTAACGGAATTCTTACTTGCGCACATTTTTAGTAAAACGCTTTTACGTAAATAATCAGACGAAAGATATAACTTACGCAAATCTTAGGCGTAAAAACGTTAGTAAAACGCTGCCCTGGGGCTTTGTTTATGTGATAAATATATTTATTTGTTATTGTATGAGAACAGACTAAGTTTCACTATGTGATCATTGTACACCAGAAGCAAAAATGTATAAGACTTGGAAGGAAAAGCATATCTTATATCATGAATGCATGAAAATCTGAGGAAATACACTGTCTTGATTGTAAATAAAAATGTACATGATTCCTGCATGAACCAATGTACATGATTCCTGCATGTACATGATCATTGCATTTTTAATGTACATTGTCCCTGCACAACAAACAAGTTAAGAACACTGATTCATTTACAGCTTATTAACACCAACTTTTTCCAATTTTAACATGTGAACATGTGAGCACCAGCTTTTATTTGTTCAAATTAAGAATATCTGTTACGGAATAAACCTTATTGTTCTGTTTACAATTAGATGGCCCTCTAACCCTATTCAGTAGTGCGTGCGGACGGATGGACAGACAGCAAAGATAACAAGAGGGCCATGATGGCCCCTGAGGTCGCTCACCTGTATATAGCCCCCCCCCCCCAATTCTTATCCAAGGGCTTTTATTTGTTTATTTGAACAAACTTGGTAGATACCCATAAGAAGATGTTTCATGCTAAACATCTAAGTTCTAGCTCATTGGGTTTTTTAAAAAAGATTTTTTAAGTTTTACTATACACATATAGTTAAAAACAATGACACCCCTGGGGCAGGGCCAGTTTTGACCCCCGGGCTTTTATTTGAACAAACTTTGTAGATATTTACTTAAAGATGTTTTATGCTTAATATCTAAACTCTAGCTATTTGGGGTTTTTCAAAGAAGATTTTTAAGTTTCTGCTATACACATATAAGGAAAATCAATGACCCCCGGGGCAGGCCAGTTTTGACCCCAGGGCTTTTATTTGAACATATTTGGTAGACACCCATTAGAACATGTTTCATGCTAAATATCTTAGCTCTAGCTCTTTGGGTTCTCTAAAAGAAGATTTTTTTAAGTTTTTACTATATGCATATAGGGAAAATCAATGACCCCCTGGGGCCGGGCCAATTTTGACCCAAGGGCTTTTATTTCAACAAACTTGATAGACATTCACTAGAAGATGTTTCATGCCAAATATCTAAGCTCTAGCTCTTAAGGTTCTTTAAAAGGAGATTTTTAAAGTTTTTACTAAATGCATATAGGGAAAATCAATGACCCCCTGAAGCGGGGCCAATTTTGACCCCAGGGTTTTTATTTGAACAAACTTGGTAGACATTCACTAGAAGATGTTTCATGCCAAATATCTTAGCTCTAGCTCTTACAGTTCTTTAAAAGAAGATTTTTTAAGTTTTTACTATATGCATATAGGGAAAATCAATGACCCCCCGGGACGGGGCCAATTTTGACCCCAGGGCTTTTATTTGAACAAACTTGGTAGACACTCACTAGAAGATGTTTCATGCCAAATATCTTAGCTCTAGCTCTTACAGTTCTTTAAAAGAAGATTTTTTAAGTTTTTACTATATGCATATAGGGAAAATCAATGACCCCCCTGGGGCGGGGCCAATTTTGACCCCAGGGTTTTTAATTGAACAAACTTGGTAGACATTCACTAGAAGATGTTTCATGCCAAATATCTAAGCTCTAGCTCTTACAGTTCTTTAAAAGAAGATTTTTTAAGTTTTTACTATATGCATATAGGGAAAATCAATGACCCCCCGGGGCGGGGCCAATTTTGACCCAAGGGCTTTTATTTGAACAAACTTGGTAGACACTCACTAGAAGATGTTTCATGCCAAATATCTTACCTCTAGCTCTTTGGGTTCTTTAAAAGAAGATTTTTTAAGTTTTTACTATATGCATATTGGGAAAATCAATGACCCCCTGGGGCGTGGCCAATTTTGACCCCAGGGCTTTTATTTGAACAAACTTGGTAGACACTCATTAGAAGATGTTTCATGCCAAATATCTAAGCTCTAGCTCTTAGGGTTGTTTAAAAGAAGATATTTAAAGATTTTTCTTTCGGTTGCCATGGCAACCAGAGTTCTGTATGGAATTAAATTCTTTGAACAATTTTTAAAGGTGACCACCAAAGGAACATTCCTGTGAAGTTTGGATGAAATTGGCTCAGTGGTTTATGAGGAGATGTCATTTAAAGCAAAAGTTTACGGACGGACGGACGGACGCCGGACGAAAAGCGATCACAAAAGCTCACCCTGTCACTTTGTGACAGGTGAGCTAAAAACAATATGTCTCCCAAAAATTTTGGGAAACCAGTGTTTTTTTTGGTCGAAATATTCGGCGATATTCGGCCCCTTTCCCCACCTCTCGGAATATATATTTTTCCCCATGAAATTGCGAAAATTCCCCACCGTCAAAAAAATAAACCCAAACAATAATCAAACTGAACTGAAGTCACTCAGTTAATAAAGTTGTTAACCAATTTCAATTAGTTGTTTTATTTGTTTTATAGGATTGTTAAAAAATCATGTATTTTAAGTCTTTTTATTGAATATTAATAACACTGAAAATTCCCCTTTTTTGGCATTTACGCGCTATTTTTCCCCACCCAATGGGCACTGACCCCCTTCCCCCAAAACTGAAAAAAAACACTGGAAACAATAATTATGTCATAACTTATTAATTACATTAGATAAATACTTTTAACCTAATGAGAATTTTAATGATATCAGCTTCAGTTTCACACAGTGAACCTACCTTTGTGTCTGTTGTACACAGTCCACGAGAACTGTATTGAAGCCAGCATCTACACGTACATTGGTAAGATTGCCTTAAACATGCCAACATTCTGAACTACAGTCTGTAAGCTACTGAAATATACATGTATAATGTTATGTAATGTCACTTGTAACTTTTGTATGGTAACAGGTCAGTTTGGACCATAGACATTTCTGGCCAGATTCAAGGACAATCCGCACTTCATTTTGGAACACTCCAGACCAGATTACAATGACTTTAATTGTTATAGAATGTTTAATTTACTTTTTTAAGTCAGCAATTTAAAAAACTGCTATGATAGATATGCCACTGAACTTGAACACAAACCAAACCACAATTTGTTAACTATAAGTGTTGACGTTTATTTCATGTACATATCATTTATTATTAATAAATATTGACTTATCTTCTTCTTTAAGCTTGCCAATATGAGAATGTATGAATGTTTAGTAACTTTAAAGATATGTTTACAATGAGTCCTTCCACAGTTTCATCTTTTGTTATGGTGTATATATGATCCCGTATGAATAGACTTACATAAGAACATTTTGGGTCTTTTCCAGCTTATCTGGGGACACAAACAAACTTTTACAGTTACAGCTTCGAAAATAAACGTAAAAGGTTGATTAATCTATTGTGACCTGTATTCACCTTGAAGCTATAACGGTAAATTAACATGATACTGGGTACAGGACGTTCATTAGGATGTTCAGATTTCTAGTAAGTATGAGGTGATTTGTGATCACATAGAGGAAATTATACTGTATTTTGTAAAGAAATGTAACTTATAAGAGATGATTGGAGTCTGCAGCTGTCTTGGGTGGACCAAACAAAAATTATGTCCAACACTACATTGGAACTCATAATAAAAGCATTTCTAGCCACAGCTCTTTGTAAGCTAGATAATTCTACCAAAGTAGCCACTCTGAGTTATTGTTCTTACACAAATTTCATAGGCTATTTTGGGGCTTGTCTGTTTTGGATTTTGATATTTCTCTTAATATATCTCGTTTTGAGTTTTTCTG